AACAAACAATCAAGCTCACTCACTGGCACAACACCAACTCCACCCAACTCACTATCAACGCCTAACGATCCATAATTGATCGAACGCAATCATAACAACCACCATCACACACACAGCTTCAACTGAATCAACTGACAGCACTTCACCGATAGACTGATCGACGCCACAGGGACAATCATCACACCACGATCACGCCAACGAATGTTTGTTGATGCATTCAGATGATCTTCGCCGATCGAATGAGCGCAGGCGATCGAATCAACCAAACTTGCAGTTTCATCATCACCAACCAAATCAATTTCGCACCAGCGTCATCGCAGCATCGCGCCCGCTTCTCGCTGCATCAGCCCCTTCTGCAATGTCTTGCATCAACTGTTCGCACCGGGCTGAACTGATCGATGAAAACGTTAAACGCCGCCACATCTGTAACGGAACATCATTTATTTGCATTAAAAAAGAATGATATTTCACATCCTCACAGGACAATGACGATTTGAAACCACCATCCAGATGTTCACCCATTAGAACAAATCAATTTCCAAATGTGGAACCAATGAGATCACCTGGACCTGGGAGAATGACCACAACTGGGGAATTAACTGAGAGGATAACGCAATCGATCACACTGATTACAACGACGATTTGGATTAAAGCGACACGCAACATCACACAAGCAAGATAAATTCATAACACACAGCACTATACAACTAATTAACAACAAATTAAAAAAACAGGGAATCAACATCACGATGTAAATAATCAACATCACAATATATAATACACAAGCACATCAAATGAATCACAACAATGAAAGAATCATGGTGATGTGTTCATGAAACAACCATCGCAGAATCATGCAAAAAATCAAATCAGTTCTTGATACACACCATGCACACCATCAACGATGACTGAAAGGATCAAACAATCAAACACACACTGTCACCACACCAAAGCTCCATCCAAACCATTAATCATTATCAAAGACCACCACCAACCAACTCCATCCCCAACTGATCCTGGTCCCAACTGGAGTTGGATTGAGGACTCTGTTCTGTTCCATTGGTCTATATCTCTGTTTTGGTACCAGTACCATGCTGTTTTGGTTACTGTAGCCTTGTAGTATAGTTTGAAGTCAGGTAGCGTGATGCCTCCAGCTTTGTTCTTTTGACTTAGGATTGTCTTGGAGATGCGGGCTCTTTTTTGGTTCCATATGAACTTTAAAGCAGTTTTTTCCAATTCTGTGAAGAAAGTCATTGGTAGCTTGATGGGGATGGCATTGAATCTATAAATTACCTTGGGCAGTATGGCCATTTTCACGATATTGATTCTTCCTATCCATGAGCATGGTATGTTCTTCCATTTGTTTGTGTCCTCTTTGATTTCACTGAGCAGTGGTTTGTAGTTCTCCTTGAAGAGGTCCTTTACATCCCTTGGAAGTTGGATTCCTAGGTATTTTATTCTCTTTGAAGCAATTGTGAATGGAAGTTCATTCCTGATTTGGCTCTCTGTTTGACTGTCACTGGTGTATAAGAATGCTTGTGATTTTTGCACATTAATTTTGTATCCTGAGACTTTGCTGAAGTTGCTGATCAGCTTAAGGAGATTTTGGGCTGAGACAATGGGGTTTTCTAAATATACAATCATGTCGTCTGCAAACAGGGACAATTTGACTTCTTCTTTTCCTAACTGAATCCCCTTGATTTCTTTCTCTTGCCTGATTGCCCTAGCCAGAACTTCCAACACTATGTTGAATAGGAGTGGTGAGAGAGGGCATCCCTGTCTTGTGCCAGTTTTCAAAGGGAATTTTTCCAGTTTTTGCCCATTCAGTATGATATTGGCTGTGGGTTTGTCATAAATAGCTCTTATTATTTTGAGGTACGTTCCATCAATACCGAATTTATTGAGCGTTTTTAGCATGAAGGGCTGTTGAATTTTGTCAAAAGCCTTTTCTGCATCTATTGAGATAATGATGTGGTTCTTGTCTTTGGTTCTGTTTATATGCTGGATTATGTTTATTGATTTGCGAATGTTGAACCAGCCTTGCATCCCAGGGATGAAGCCCACTTGATCATGGTGTATAAGCTTTTTGATGTGCTGCTGAATCCGGTTTGCCAGTATTTTATTGAGGATTTTTGCATCGATGTTCATCAGGGATATTGGTCTAAAATTCTCTTTTTTTGTTGTGTCTCTGCCAGGCTTTGGTATCAGGATGATGTTGGCCTCATAAAATGAGTTAGGGAGGATTCCCTCTTTTTCTATTGATTGGAATAGTTTCAGAAGGAATGGTACCAGATTGTAAACTAGTTCAACCATTATGGAAAACAGTATGGCGATTCCTCAAGGATCTAGAACTAGATGTACCATATGACCCAGCCATCCCATTACTGGGTATATACCCAAAGGATTATAAATTATGCTGCTATAAGGACACATGCACACGTATGTTTATTGCAGCACTATTCACAATAGCAAAGACTTGGAATCAACCCAAATGTCCATCAGTGACAGATTGGATTAAGAAAATGTGGCACATATACACCATGGAATACTATGCAGCCATAAAAAAGGATGAGTTTGTGTCCTTTGTAGGGACATGGATGCAGCTGGAAACCATCATTCTTAGCAAACTATCACAGGAACAGAAAACCAAACACCGCATGTTCTCACTCGTAGGTGGGAACTGAACAATGAGATCACTTGGACTCGGGAAGGGGAACATCACACACCGGGGCCTATCATGGGGAGGGGGGAGGGGGGAGGGATTGCATTGGGAGTTATACCTGATGTAAATGACGAGTTGATGGGTGCAGCACACCAACATGGCACAAGTATACATATGTAGCAAACCTGCACGTTGTGCACATGTACCCTACAACTTGAAGTTTAATAATAATAAATAAATTAAAAAAAAAAAAAATAGAACATCCTATCATTTGTGATAATATGGAAAAACCTGGAAACCATTATGCTAAGTGAGAGAAGCCAGGCACAGAAAGACAAATACTGCATGATCTCACTTATGTGTGAAAACTAAAATAGCGGAACTCACAGCAGAGAGTAGAATGGTGAGGGCTGGTTGGCTGGGGAGATGTTGGTAAAAGGGCACAAACGTCCGTTAGGCAGTTTGGAAGCTCTATAGTGCGCAGCACAGCGACCACAGGTGATGGTCATGTATCGTGTACTTGAGCATCGCTAAGAGAGTAGATCTTCAATGTTTTCATCTGCATGTGTGTGTGTATAGTAAGATATATGTGTGTGTATATATGGTGATACATGAGTTAATTCGCTTCATCGAGCCCTTTCACAGTGTACACATATGTCACAGCATCATACTTTATACCATAAATACACACAATTTTTATTTTTCAATGATTCCTTCATGAAGCTCGGGTTTGGGGAATGGGATTCTTTTTCCCCCAGTTTCAGCCTAGGCCTCAAGATAATGAGTGTCAGCTACAACCACATTCCACACAAGGTGCAGGACCTACGAGGGACTTTTAAAGGAAGTGGTAAAAATTCAATTCCATGACTCTTGCCCCTCCGCCAACCTTCTTAGCAAAAGGTACAAATTCAAATGTACCCTTAGGTCAGCATAAACTGGAGGAAGAGAAACATGCGATGAAGTTTAGTCCTTTCTCATGTGGGGCCAGGCACGTTAGTCTCTGAGATGAGGTCTTTACTCCTTCAATAAGTGACCAGAGGACTTTGCACCATTCAGGAGTGGCTGTGAAAGTTATGAGGACCAGCAGATTTCGTCCAAGGTGGCAGGAGAGAAAGCTCACAGAGCAGACTGAGAGGTTTGTGCGTGTCACAGTGTGTCCAACTCATTCTGTGTGGTGGAGTCTGTTCCTTAAATAGCAGGCACTGGTCTAAGCCCTTTAGAAATCTGAGTGCACTTAATCCTCTTACCAGTGCAGTGAGATTTATATTATTATTTCCATTTTACTGATAAGGAAACCTACACAAGTATAATAAACTCCGCGGAGGTTACCTAAGATTACACATCTAGTGTGAAATAATGACAAGACTTGAACTCATATACTGTGGCCCGAGGGCCACTTGTAATCACATGCTAAACAGCCTCTTATGTGAAGTGGAGCAAATGCAACCACAGTTACATGAAAGGCTCTAGACATTTAATTTAACTTAATTTAATTTAATTTAATTTAATTTAATTTAATTTAATTTAATTTTAGACAGAGTCTCACTCTGTTGCCCAGGCTGGAGTGCACTGGCTCGATCTCGGCTCACTGTAACCTCCACCTCCCAGATTCAAGCAGTTCTGCCTCAGCCTCCCAAGTAGCCAGGATGACAGGTGCCCGCCAACACACCCTGATAATTTTTGTATTTTTAGTAGAGAGGGGGCTTCACCATGTTGGCCAGGCTGGTCTGGAACTCCTGACTTCAGTGATCCACCCACCCTGGCCTCCCAAAGTGCTGGGATTATAGGTGTGAGCCACCGTGCCTGGCTACTCTTTAATACATCCATTGTCATTATCATCATCACCACCATCTACATTCATTCAAGGATTCTTTATCTCCATTGAACATGTCCTATACTTTGCACTGTTTTGTATCACGGGAATGGTGTTTTGAAACAATAGGGCAAAATAGCAATGATCACTTATAGAGTGTAAAATACATACTTGTACTAAATCCTTCACTTATTTAATCCTCTCAACAAAGCCATGAGTTACTTCTTTCAAAGATAAGGGAACTATTAATACAGTTAAGAGAGAATAAATTATCCACATCTAGTAAGAAAAAGATTTATGTGGCCGGGCGCTGTGGCTCACGCCTGTAATCCCGGCACTTTGGGAGGCCCAGGTGGGCAGATCATCTGAGGTCAGGAGTTCCAGACCAGCCTGGCCAACATGGCAAAACTCCGTCTCTACAAAAAGTACGAAAATTAGCCGGGCGTGGTGGCACACATGCCTGTAATCCCAGCTACTCAGGAGAGTGAGGCAGGAAAATAGCTTGAACTCAGGAGGCAGAGGCTGCAGTGAGCTGAGATCACGCCACTGCACTCCAGCCTGGACGACGAGAGCAAGACTTTGTCTAAAAAAAAGAAAAAAGAAAAAGACGTATGTCCAGATCTCTCCGATCTGCTGCCTGGCCCTTGACTACCGTGGCATTCGGCTCCCCCGACAGCTTCCTTTCTCCAAGGAGAGAGCTGGATTCGGAGTCAGCCCGGGCGAGAGCAAACTCCTTGGGGCACGGCAGCGATCCCGCCTTTTCCCTTGAAATTCCCATTTATTGGGGTATTAGATATAAATATTTGTAATGTGTAGTGCAAATCGTCTTTACTTTGCTTCCTCCTACAAAATACTTACATCCAAATGAGATTGTCAGGAGTGCACAAAACAGGTGTGGCCACCCACCTTTCTAATGTTTAGACAGCGTTACAGAGGTCTGCCGATTCAGGAAATGATCTCGTGGTTACCAGGCAGCCAGTGTACCCCTCCTGATGGATTGTGGGTCGGGAAGAGCACAAGTGTTTTGTAACTATGGAAACAAACTGAGTTTGTCAAGCCAGAGAGCAACCCTCCAGCATCCAGATTACCCTTCGAAGACGGCAAAGAAAAGGAGAGCTCTGAAATCACTCAACGCATAGGAGCTGGTTCTCTAATTTTTAGACTTTAATTAAATCAATTATTAAAGCCTTTCTTAATGCCTTGCTGAGATATTCAGGCTCTGGCTGCCTCGGGAGAGAGGAAGCGGTTGAATGCACAGAGGTGGCTAATAAGGTTGGTCACTGGCCCCTGAGGGACACCAGGCAGTAAGGAAGGTTCTCCCTCCCACACCCTTCCCAGTGTCGCCCTCACTCCTTGTGTCTCTTCCAGAGGGGATACGACATTCCACAATCCCGCAGGAGAGATTCTGCCATCTCCGCAGCTGCCCCCACTGCAGTCCCCCCACCGCTGGAGAAGATGCCCCCACTAACTGGGGTGTGTCGAGCTAGTGGACACATCATTGAGCAGGCTGAGGTCAGAGGGCATTCCTAGAAAAGGGAATATTTCTCTGTCTTAGTGATCTGCCTGGATCAGGAGTTTGGGATCACTGGCAAGTTGAACAGGTCCTGTGGATCCTTTCTAGCCTCTGTGTGCCCTAGAGAAGTGGGGCTGGTTCACATCTCCCTGTGGCTGTATTCAGAAATAACTGGGGAATAGCACACTGTGTATTGGCTCGTACAGAGTCCACGGTGAGGGGCCGTGGCCATACCTGCCGTCTTGTTGACCTTGGTTTGCAGGGTGGACTGTGTCATTAAGATCCTCCCACGGCCTCATCCTGCGCTGGCCATAAGGTAAGGAGTTTGCTGCAACAGGTAGTTTCTTCAGAGCACATCATTATCGGGTGACTTGGATGAACTGGCTTGGGTGTGGGGGGTCCGGAATGGCAATGTCTCCATCCAGGGCCCTGGTTCCATGCTGAGGACGTCTCTGCAAACACGTGGGAGGGAAACAAGAGAGGATGGGGCAGGACAGCACACACCCACCTTTCCTCCAGGCATCTGTCTGGCTCCGCACGTCTTCCTCATGGGTGATGGCAGCCAGACCTGACCTGGGCTCCTTCTGAAGACGCAGCAGAGCTTTGATTGCATGAGTGCAGCTGGGGAAAGAGCCCATAATGCAGCAATTATTGTTCATTTGTTGCTATGGTATTTCTGTGGCCTGTTTGGATCCATGAATGTCTTGATTATTTTCAATTCCCATTTATAGAACATTCTGTTCATCTCAAAGTGCTTTGAGACCATCTTCATAGGATACTCCCTGTAACAGACACAAGTTAGTAATGGCATTGCTATTTTACAAACGAGCACATTGAAGTGGGGTATTGTTTTAATAACTAAAATCAGGGAAAGTGAAAGAGAAGACATTTGATAAATGACATTATCATTCCAATAAAGGAAACTTGGCTTTAGGTTAAATTATATTTGACATAAATTGATGTTTTGACATCAATGGATATCACTCAGGCTTTGACATCTAGTTGGTGTCACAGTTGGGAGAAATATTATTTGAGGAACAGGTTACCGTGAAAGGTAGGCCTAATGAAGCAGAAAGAGGAGATTGGCAAAAACTCTGGCTTTCAAATCTTTGGTTTCCAAAGAAACTATGTAGAAAATTAACGAGTTCACAGCTCAATCTTCTATGTATTGGAGCCTATATTCACAGAATGTTTACAACTTTTGGGTAATAGTGTATGATAATTGTTATGTGTGTATAATATTAAGATAATATAATTGTGTAATTAAAAGAAAAAAATCCTCCTATGAGTAAATACATCATGGGATATTCCTGTAATGGAATTCTATAGGATAGTGAAAATGAATGACATTCAGCTGAAAATGTCCACACCCATGGATGACTTCCCAAATATAAACTTGATCCCAAAACTGGATTATCTACAGTATAATGCCACTTATCTTAAATAGAAACTTCAAATATAGGCAAGATTTAGCAACATATGCTTTGAGGATACATAGTTATATAGGAAAATGAGGAAGGAAATTAAGTCAATTATGAACACAACATTAGACAATGGTGGCTCTGGGAGGAAGGAGAAGGAATGGCGTCAGGAAGGCCCAGTCCTTAGGGTCTTCAGCAATACTGACACAGCTCTAAGGCCTATGCTGAGTGGCTGACTTGGTCCTGCTTGTGATAGTATTCTTTGTATCTCATGTGTGCTTTTTAATATTTTCTTTTGTGTTTACAAGCCACAGGAATGCTCATTGGCTTGCTTTTAGTGGTTCTCCAACTACAAACCTTGATTTGTTTCTATGGATCATGTAGAGAGCTGTCCTAAGCACTTGCACCTGCTAAGCAGGGATTTAATTAGGGCTATCCATGACTTCCATTTTTATAGAAAATAATTCATGTGGGTCAGAGGACATGTTCGCCACAGTTTTGTGTTATGGGATTATAAGTGATTTCAAACCCCAAAGATTATCCTAGAATAATAGTGAGTATAAATAAGCCCAGTGGCTGAATTCTCAAATATGTGTCGTAAAAAAGCAAATGTGAACCAGAGTGATGACGTTTTAAAGAAATTTCAACAGATGTGTTGGTAAAATCATACGAAATAAAATAGATTATCTACTTTCACCTCCTCCTTCATACGACTTTCCTAGAACACGAGATCATATTAGAAGAGTATCCTACAATTTCCCTTCTGCTCTGATTTACAGAAAGGAACTGAGGCAGCAGGAGGTAAAGAGACTTATTTAAAAATCACAAGAGACTTAGTGCCAACAGGGTGTGAGTCTAAGCCTCTCAACTCACAAGAAAATGGCCAGCCCACCCTACTACCCCTACTCTGCCCTCTCTTCTCCTTCGATACACACTATTGAGAGAAGGTATTACACCAAGTCTAGAGATCCATTCCAGTACAAGAAGCACTGACTAGAGGGGCAAGAGATCTGTATTTTGGTTCTAAGTCTATTATCTACAATCGAAGTCACTTAATATATAAGAACTTTAGCCTGGGTAACATGGCAAGACTTCATCTATACAAAAAATGAAAAAAATTTGCCATGCGTGGTGGTGTGCACCTATAATCCCAGCTACTTGGGAGGCTGAGGTGGGAGGATTGCTTGAGCCCGGGAGGTTGAGACTGCAGTGAGCTGTGTTTGTACCACTGCACTCCAGCCTGGGCAACAGAGCAAGACCCTGTTTCAAAGAAAAAAAGCAATTATCCTGCCTCAGCCTCCCAAGTAGCTGGGATTACAGGCGCCGGCCACTACACTCAGCTAATTTTTGTATTTTTAGTAGAGAGGGGGTTTCGCCATGTTGGCGAGGCAGGTGTGGAACTCCTGATCTCAGGTGATCTGCCCACTTTGGCCTCCCAAAGTGCTGGGATTACAGGTGTGAGCCACTGCGCCTGGCTAGACTCTTTAATACATCCATCATCATTATCATCATCACTACCACCACCTAAATTCATTCAAGGATTTTTTTTATCTCCACCAAACACATCCTATGATTTGCACTGTTTTGTATCATGGGAATGAATGGTGTTTTAAAACAATAGGGCGGCCGGGCGCTGTGGCTCAAGCCTGTAATCCCAGCACTTTGGGAGGCCAAGACGGGCGGATCACGAGATCAGGAGATCGAGACCATCCTGGCTAACACGGTGAAACCCCGTCTCTACTAAAAAATACAAAAAACTAGCCGGGCGAGGTGGCGGGCGCCTGTAGTCCCAACTACTCGGGAGGCTGAGGCAGGAAAATGGCATAAACCTGGGAGACGGAGCTTGCAGTGAGCTGATATCTGGCCACTGCACTCCAGCCTGGGTGACAGAGCGAGACTCCGTCTCAAAACAAACAAACAAACAAACAAGCAAACAAAAAAAAACCAATAGGGCAAAATCTTTACTTGTGGGACAATACGTTTTAGACATTCTGGTGAGCAGGTAAAATTCCTAAACTAGGTCAGTACCTGTTGGCACTGTGTGTCTTTTATTCCTAAATAAGTGTAAAGGTTTGTGTTAAAAATAAAATTTGATCTAATTTCAGCATAGAATGCAATGGCAGATGCTTGTTTGATTTTTTCTTCCAAGGTGCTCTTATTATTATCATTCTCTTTAAATTCTTCCAGTATTACTTGGGTGGGGGGCACTTTATTATGTGCTAATTCTTCTATCAACACCTGACAGCTTTTTACCATCCAGGGGTGAGGCCTGGAGTAGGTACCCACAGCAACAGAACCACAGGACACGGTCTTTGTCTACGGAAGAATCTGGGATACTAGGGGTTAAAGAGCCTATCCCAAATCTTTAGAAGGAAGTGTTCTGCATCAGGAAGGTTTTACAGAGAACATCCTAGAAAAATATTTTAACCTCCTTCTTTGCTCCTGATACAATGGGCCAACACCAAACTTCTTTTTGTTGTGTCTTAGGAGGTAGAACACTGGATTAGCCACAGAAAGCACACGGGCCTTTGCTCTGCAGCTTCCTCTCATGGTCTCAGCCCGTGCACCAGAGCATTGGTACTTCCTGCCTTGGGTCTTGAATCTGTGGTGCAAAACCATTGTACTGGTCAGGGTTCTTGTTGCAACCAAAACAACTGCCTCTGACCATCTTAAGTACAAAACATTCCTTGGTATGACACTGAATGGGACAAGGGTCACAGCACTAAGAACTCAGAAGGCTGCTAGGAACTCCAGAAATTCTGGAAGGTCAAGAAGCAGGAAGCAGCACAGCTCTCTCTTTGCATGAAAAGTTTGGCCAGGGTTCTAGTATTGGACAAGACAGTCACTGTAAATGGATTCAAAGAATCACTTTGCTGTGGATGAGTCAAAGATCCATGTGGGAGCATCCTGTAGGGTAAGGACAGGTCCGGCTCCTGAGTTCAGACCACCAAGGAGCAGGGAGAGTGAGGATTTAGTTGCATTTCAGCTTTGGTAGGGGAAGATCCAGTACTGCATCCACCAATACACACCTTGGGGAGTCTGCCAGAATACAAAGGAATGACAAACACCCTTTGAAATCTATTCGTCGGACTCTCTAGATTTACATATATAATTTTCTTTCCTGACATTCATTTCCACCCATAACAACAGTAACAAACTGGTTCTGTTTGAGACAATGCCATTCTCCTTATTTCAAACAAAAAATGTACTCACTCCCTCACCAGTGGGTGACAATAGTTACTGACTGCATCCATTCTCAATCCCGGATGTTCATTCATTCTCAAGTTCCACTTGCACTGTAGTTGTGTTATTCTGAAACCTATGAACTAAATTATCGTTAACTGTAAACCAACCGTACATATAATAGTGAGAGAGAAGAGAGAGGAGTCAAAGGAAAATTAATTAACTCATAAATATATACATGACACAGCAGGAAGGAAGTATCAGGAGAGGATGCAGTCTGGATTTCTGCAGCTGTTCATGAGGCCAAAGCTGATATTTAAGACTTCTTTTTATTATCATGTTTATTTTGCTTTCAGTCAACACCTCAAATGGTCTGAAGTCTATATACACGAGGGCTTCCCAAATATTAATTCTTCGTAAATCTGAGAGCTTGTTGGTCCTGTCTGTAGAAGATGGTGTTAGTCAGAGTTCTCCAGAGAAAGAGAAAGAGTAGGATGTGTATATGTAGTGTATCCATAAAGAGACTTATTTTAAGGAATTGGCTCATGCAGTTGTGGAGGTTGGCTAGTCCAAAATCTGCAGGTGGACTAGCAGGCTGGAGAGCTAAGGAAGAGCCAAGACTGCAGTTCAAGTCTGAAGACTGTCTACCACAGAATTCCTTTTTGCTCTGGAGAGGTTAGGCTGTTTTACTCAGTCTTTCAACTGATTAGATGAGATCCACCCACATTACAGAAGGCAATTTGCTTTCCTGAAAGTCCACCAATTTAAATGCTAATCTTATCTAAAACTATCCATACAGAAACATCCAGAATAATAGCTGCATATTAATAAGGAGAGCACATCTGGAACAGCTGCTGCTGAAATCAGGACTCACAGTGTCCCATGAGAGTGAGAACTTACTCCCACAAGATGGTATTAATGTGTTAATGAGGGACCCACCCCCATGACTCAGACATTTTTCACTAGACCTCAGCTCTCAACACTGCCATATTGGGAATGAAATTTCAACATAAGTTTTGGTAAGAACGAACCATATCCAAATCCTAGTAGCATACAATTATTATAGTCTTATTCTTTTTTTTTTCTATGAAGTTGGTAGCAATGTCCCTGCTTCCATTCCTAATTTTAGTTATTTGAATCTTCTCATTGTTTTCTTGGTCAGACTAGCTAAAGGTCTG